ATGCTTTTTCTGCTCACTCGGAAGTGATCGTGTGTATGAATTGTATGGGGGAAAGTTTGCTTGCAAGATATTTTTTCCAAAATCCCTCCCCTTTTAAAGTGAAATGGTCCCCCCTACATGAATGATGTATCGGATAGGTAAAGAAAGCAATCTCGGAACAAGAATCGTGTCTCAATGAGACAAAGAATGTCAGATCATTCATCGCCAGAATCATGCAGTTGTGTTAGTGCCAAAAAGTACAATTTATCGAGACCAAAGTTACGTTTTCGCCTTGTTTCCTTGACGAGTCGGTTTCCGACTTCTTTAACGCACTCAAATTTGCGAGAAAACCGTAAATCTTTCGACAGGCGTTCTTAGATAACAGGTGCTGTCATCTCGTTTAATGGTTGTGCGATGATTCACGTTGGGAGACAAAACAACAACAACAACAACAACAACAACAACAATAATAGCAAAAAGTCCCTATGGTCCAACTCTCATCCTTTCATTCTCATTGACTCTCTTCCCCATTGCAGGTCCGTAGCCAGAAAAACATTATGACTAAGGCAATGTTCACGGTTAAATTTTCTTCTTAGGTATTTAAGGTGTTTTTGATAAATATAAACAACAAAAACACACACACACAAAAAAAAAAGGTCTGAGGGAAGTATCTCGGTTTGCCTCTTACTAGCTACGGCCCTGCGTTGGATCCTTCCTTTTACATACAGTAAATACCCGCTATAAGAACCTAAAATTTAAGGACCTGTTAGGCTAAAATTTACCTGTTAAGCACCCTTCACATAAGAACCATTTCTAGGCTAAAATCTCAATACAGGTTCTGATTTTCAAAATATAGAGTTTTTTTTCAAAATATAGAGTTTTTTTCAAATACAATACAGTACATCACATGCGATACAAAAAAAGGGTAACAAAAACTAGCCAGAGCACTGATAGTGGTATAGGACCACAATACTGTTCAGTAAATGACTCAATATAAAGGCCAAATCCATGAGTACAAGTTAAAAATAATATAATAAATTTCATTGTTAACACCATTTGTATAAGAACCTAGGGAGGCTAACCTGAAAAAAACCTAGGTTGTTATACGCGAGTTTTTATTGTATTGCAACTATGTAAAATATTGTTGTTCTAGATTTAACGTAAATATCTGTAGAAAGTCTAAAATTTACTAAATAGTTCCCTCCTGTGCAGCAGTTTTGTTCATTAAAAGTTCGGAGCCTAAAATATTGATTAGTAACAAGCAAACTCTGTACTGATCAAAGCTAGTACTGGATGCATGACCAAGTAATAAAATCCCTGTACTGCGGGTTCTCATTTTATTTCCTATTTTTGGCGTAAAACTAGGACATACAGGCTAATTATCAAATCCTTTTATTAGACGAAAATTGAGTTTAACTGCTTTTTGTTTCAATAAAAATTCCGCATTAAAAAAAAAAACCAAACAAAAAAACAAAACAAAACAAAACAAAAACAAACAAACAAACAAACAAACAAACAAACAAACAAACAAACAAACGTGACATTCCCCATACTGAATGTGTTACGTTATGCGTTGTTATTATTATAGGACTTAAAACGCAATTTGCGTCACTTACTCAGGTTTCAAAACATGGAGAAGGTCGCGTGGAAACAAAAATAACAAAGTTCTATTGTCCAGACGTTCTATTTCTTAAAACTCTCTGTTGCATTAGCCCTTTGTTATTATCCAGACGTATTTTAAATTAAAACTACTCACTCGGTGAGGAAATCGTTTCACTTCCATGTTGAATATAACAGGTACTTGAAAATTAAAAACCTTATACACTGGTCAGCAGATTCACAAAAAGTCTGACAGGAAGAGAAGGAAGGAAGGAGTGAAGGAAGAATTGAATGAATGTACTTGTGGAATCCAGATCTCTCACTGACAGGATTCTTTGAATTGGCCTCGGTAGATTTCCTGGTTTCTTAGAACGGAAATTAGCTTGAGCAGGTTCGAAAACGTTTGTTTCTTTCAGATCTAACTGCATCTTATATCAAAATGACAAAATACGACAGCCAAGGTGTTCCTGCTCTAAGTTTTCATAATCCTGCGGGGATGATTCTTTATCCTGT